GTGCCCCAATTGCACATTTATTTTTAAAGGGAAAAGTACTGCCTCCCCTCTGAGGATGGATCTGGAGTTCTGGGCATGAACTTCAAAGAGACAGGAAGCCACGGGGCAGGGCCAGCCTCCCTTGGCTTGCCCTTCATTGGAGGGGCCCAGGCGTTTCATGCCTTAGGTTCTGCTGCAACAGTTGAGAACGACCATCATATGAACCGAAGTTATTCTAGCTGCTGGAACGATCGATTTCCAAGATTCAGTGGGCTAACCCTGAAACATTTATTTCTCACTTACATAACCGTCAGACACAGATCTGCAGAGCCAGGTGCTGAGGGTTTCGGGAGCACCTCCCAGGTGGCCAGAGTCATGCAGCGTCCTTTCCTTCGCCGGGCAGGAAGCCTCGGGCGCTGTCTGCACGCCCCCCTGTGTACACGTGCCGCTCGGTTCTCTCCTGGCAAGGTCCCTGGCTTGTACACTGGATCAGGGCTCGCGTCTCAGCCCCACGCCACACCCCTCGTCCTTATCCCTCCCCATGTCCTGTGTCTCAAGAGGCAGAGAGCTCTGACACTCTGACACGCCAGATTACAAATAAGCACTGAAGTCAGCAGTGACTCACAAGGGTGCAAACCTCTATTGTGAATCCTCTAACGGCCGCTGGTCACTGCTAGCACCAGGCGCAGGTGATTTAATGAGCCCCCGGAGGAAGCCTTTGAGACTTGAAGCCTTTGAGACTCGCACCAGGAGCTACAGGAGTGAGGAATGAGGTGCAGGCCGGTCAGCACAGCCCTCCAGCTACTTCTCCAGCTTCATGGGGCCTAAGAGTCTCCCTTGGGAATTAATTTCGAGTCCAGGAAAGAAAGAGTCTGGCTTTGATGGCCCAGGGGCAGAGGTGTCTTCAGGGACCTGCAAATTGGGGGCCCAAGGCTCCTCCTGATACCCCGAAGCTTAGAATCAATTCACAAGTCCTGCCCTGCTCTCCTCCCTCAGGCACCATCCCCAACAAAGGGAGACTGTCCCTTTGTCCCCAGGCCAGGTGGGGGCTGCTCTGCCTCTCTGCAGCTGCCTGCACGTTTACTTCAACCAGACCAACCTGGCTGTCAACAACAGCAGAGCCCACACCAAGCGAGGCCTCTCAGGATGGCGCTGCAGGGGGCAGAGCTGTCTGCGCTGGGAGAGTAAGAGAGAAGTTCTCTGCCCCAAACCCAGGCTCCCTGGTGTCCCCGTTCCAAAGGGCTCGGTTCCCTTCAGTTACCAGGAGCAGGAGGAGGAAATGCTTCCTGGACAATCACATCTAAGCTGGACAAACACTTCCCTGTTTTGTTCTCGGTGGCACTGGGTGTGGGTGCCAATGACCATGAATGTGCCTTTAATGACGAGTGTACACACCATATTCTGTCTCTTAAGGTGTGTAAGCTCTTCAAGGGAAGGAATGGATGGTTTCTTATTCACATCTACTATCCGTACCTAATATGGCATTTGACTCTCAGAAATGCTACCTAGGGAATGCAATTTATTTCTGAGAGAAGGGGTTAGTAAATAAATAAGAGAGTGTGGCAATGAGGAAAGATGAACGGGAAGAGAATAAATGAGAAGGAAATGATGGGGGAGTGAGAGAATGAATGAGTGTCTGAGAGGCAGGATGGTGGCCCATTGCTTCTAGGTACCCACTGCTCTCTTCTTTCTTGCAAACAAAACCCTTGTTTTCAGTTGGGCACATTTCCACCCAACACAAAGAATACATTCCCCAGATGTGTCCATGACTAAGTTCTGTAACTAAGTTAATTGTAAGTACCAGTGTTGCATGACACATCACAGAAAATCCTTGGAAAAGGAATGTGTATGCTTTTGGTCACCTTTCTGTGGCCTATAAATATGTGATGGCTAGAGCTTAGCAGCCATATTGGGCAATGAGGTGACCTCAAAAAAAAAAAAAAGCCACTCTAGGTCAGTGAGGTAGAAAGATGGAAGTCTAGTGGACCTCAGAACCCCTATAACAGTGACAGCGAACCAATTACACACGTGTCAGAGGTGACATGCAAACTCATTTTTTTGGTTGATTTTTCTTTGTTAAATGGAATTTAAATATATAAAATAAATATCAAAAATATAGGTCTTTGTTTTACTATGGTTGCAAATATCAAAAAATTTCTATATGTGACACAGCACCAAAGTTAAGTTAGGGTTTTTCAAAATGCTGACATGCCGAGCTCAAAAGGTTCGCCATCACTGCCCTATAACAACCAGGACTGCCTTCCTCTGGACCTTACTTACGTAAGACATACATAAATGTTCATTTCACTTGCTGTTTTGTGGTTTGTTGTTTTTTATCGTATGTAGTTAAATCTGGTACTGACCAACTTGCCCAGAATCACAAGTTCATGCTAGAGTCAGTCCCAGTATCCAGGCCTCCTCTCTCCCCGTCTCAAGTTCTTTCTGGCTCCAGGCCTAAGTCACTGTAGGATGGCCTAAAAACGCCACCCTCACCAGATCCTGCAGATGTCCTTCAAATGTCAACCCAAAGCCATAACACGGACTCAAAGAATCTTGACCTTTTTTAAAAAAACAATCAAAGTGAGGGATGATCCCTGGCCTTTGCTCAAAATCCCCAGGCTGGTGGGGACCACAGACCCAACCTCAGACTGAATGCAATTCTAACAGCCCAGGAAATGTACACTCACATTTTTGGTGGCTCCTCCATTTCAACAGTCAAGCATTTATTCTTCCATAAAGTGGAGCATCGGGGGTCAGGTCTTACCTCCACCAGGGAATGCCAGTGTGCGATGGGCTTCCGAGGGTAGGACAACATTTCACTCCAGTGGTCTCTGCCCAGCCTCTCAGCTGTGTTGCCTACTTGACACACGCCGATGATCTCATTGTGACCTATACTGTGAAAACAGCCCACAATAGATTTTTCTTAAAAATGTGGTATGTAAGAATAATAGCTACTCAATTGAACCAATAAGGGAAATAGGGGAGGAGTGGTTCTTTTCATTCCCTAATTTAAAATTCAATGCCAAGTTGAACAGAGAACAGGACTTGGGATCCATTATCGTACGCAGTGGCACAGAGAGGAAGTGCAGAGTCTGGCCCTCCCACACCTAGGTTTTTGTAGCATGAACGTGTTACGTGGCATGGCTTAGCTTGTTTCAAAGAACCCCATGTTTGAGGAGCTCTCTGAGGCATGCTAAGGATGCCACCCCTGTCTGGTTTTAGGTTGAACTTCAGGCCTCCAAATCCAGTTCATGAAAGGGGCCATCTGAAGAGAGTTTCCTGCAATAACAGCTGCTCAAATTCCTGCAAGAGGCAACCAAGTGCTGATAAGGAGGCAGCTCTGTGTGTGGCAGCCATAGTCTTGAGCTCACAGCAAGGGCAGAGCTGAGGACAAACACTTCCCTGCTCCTGGGTCTCCCTGCTTCCCCTCTCTTTAGAGAACACGTTTTCTCATGCTCTTTCCTCCTTCCTTCCAAACCCAGCATTGCTTCTTTGACCCGATTTGATTTCCCTACTATAAAAACATCCTCAGCTCTTTTAACCTGAAGGGCTAATATTTCTGAAACATTCCCTGCATAGGTCCCTGCCATGCCCCACCCCCCCCCTTTCTTTTCCTTCGCAGATTTTGGTGAGAAATCCTTGGTGCAACTAGAATGACATGGCCCATCCTTTAACTCTTTGGAATCCAAACACATCAGATTTTCTCTCCTTTCTTCTTTCTGCAAAGATGACTATTCTCTCTATTTGTGTAGGGCATAAGGGGGGAGATGAAGGGGGAAAGGGTATTTGAGTTTATGCTCATTAAAATTGGTTGCATGCAGAAGCTCCATGAATTCTGCCATGGATTTTTCCAGGCCAGATTCATGAGTTTACTGAGAATTAAACTGAAGCAGAGCTCACATAATCAGATTTGTCGATGCGGGAAACTTGGCAATAGCTTGAAAAATGCTGGCCTAGCTTTCCAGGCTCATGGGCAATGTCCCCTCCTGTGGCCTGACACTCCTGGGGTTGTGTGTCATCCAGGGGAGGCAGGAGGGGGGTCTCTGTCCAGCGTGGGCTGGCACACCCATGGCAGCTCAGCCACCCGTGTGCCCTGGGTTAGAAGAGGTTATGCTTCCCCCAGCCATCTGCTGGAGGGAACGTTCAGGGCGCTGGGGCTGCTCTGCTGACGTTCAGGGTTCTGTGGGAAACAGTTTAGCTACAAACAGTATTTGGAACATTGTATTAGAAGTCAGAGTGACTTTTTTCATAATTGTACCCGGACCACGTGGGAGGTTTCCAATTAAAAAGAGACTTTTCATTTCAGTCTAATGACTGGTTTAACATATATAATTCCCTATGGGTGCTTTCTTTGCATATTAAAGTGACTGTTTTTTCAAATCTGTCCTTTAAATACACAATTGGCTACAATGTAGGCTATAAATATCTTCTCTGTGCTGTATTAATTAGAAAGTCGAGCATCTTATACATTTTAATGCGCCCTGTCATCCGTACTGATGCTAGCATTTTCAAGGGAACATTTCTGTGTTTGCTTTCAGACTTAAGTGGATGGAAATGATCTTTATTGAACACATCGGGAGAAGGGAAGAAATAACGAAGTTATGTATTCGGAAATGTTGAGGGTCTGGCTAAAGCCATCACTCTGCTGCTCTGAGTGGGAGGCCAGGCAGGACCCTGAGAGACGACTGGACCTCTGGGGCCACAGTTCTCCCAGCTGAGGTTCTCGGGGATGCAGTGGGGAAGAGATGGGGATAGAGGAGGATGCAGAAGGAGAAAGGTTTTCAAAAAGGGGAAGGAAAGAATGGGGTTGCTAAGAGACACTTTCATAACCTGACTAGACAGCGTGGTTCGGACTCCTTGTCAGTCACCTTTCCACGTGCTGCTCACTTGCTTCATCTCCTGCTGCCCGGGGACCAGCTAAGAAGCTGGGCTACCCCCGCCCCCCTGCCCTCCTTGCCCTGGACCTGCCCTGAGAGAGTCCCAGGTATCTCACCGGTCGTAGTCCATGACCGCTATGGACAAGTGGATTTGGTCAATGCTCTCGGGGGGGACGTCAAAGACTATGGCTTCGTTGTAAACAGGATTCAGGGTGTTCCTCTTGGTGGACGTTTTCCTCTTCTTCAGCCGCCTGCCGTCGCACATCATGGAGACTTTCACGTAGGGATCTGTGGAGACCATGAGAAGCAGGGGTCTGTGAGGACAGATGCGGACGTAGGCCAGCAGCCTCCTCACTGTGCGGCTTCACGGACCGTGTGTGCTTTCCCTGCCTGCGGACTAGAGCTTGAGGAGTTTCACTAATACAATGCCTAGGCAGTGACTAGAGTGAGCATAAGTAAGTCACTCATTCACAAAAAAGCACAGGACCCGGTTTCCTCAAAAATACACAGAATTTAAAAATAGTGTGAAAAAACATGTTACCAGATGAGAAACTGTTCCAGGAAGAACTCAGACCTGCCTGGCTGTGACAGGAAGAGAAACGCAAAGGCACCTTCAAGGTGTGGGAGAAAGGGCTGTGGGCTGGACTCAGCCACTCAGACAATGTTTTCCTAAACATCAGGTCTTTGGGAAAGGGAGGGGCTGAATTCCTAGGGGACGAGAGGAGTTCCGGGGTTTGATTCCCTGAGTGCAGGGGCCTTGAGCCCCCAGAGCTGCCTGCAGTCGGGTTGCAAAGAGCGAAGCAGTTCCGCACGTCAGGGAGAGAGGACACAGGCTGCTTGGGGTGCACGCTGGGAGGGGATGACGGGTGCAAGGCTGGTCTCTGCTGCGGGGGGACTTGCCTGGTTCTACCTCACTGCCCTCCCGCTCAGTGAGGAGCTCATCTCTCTTCACCTGCATAACTGTGTGCTGCCCTGACTCCCATACACTGCCCAGGAGGGACTGTGAGAGCCAGGAGGGGCCCCATCTTTTTTCTGCTGGGAAAACCCTGGAGTATAGGAAGCGGAATGTATTGCATCTGATGTCCTTTGATTTCAGTGGCCAACAGCTGGTGGACTGGGTATTTTATGACCACATTTTAGGAGCCCCTGCAAAGGTTGCTTGTGATTTTGTATTTTAGGAACTGCATGCTGCGACTTGTTGTTTAGGGTTTAGAATTTAAGGTACATGTTTGATTCCCTGGAAAAACAAAAACTGCATAGTTCACTAATGAGCCTTTTATAAGCATACTAGAGGTCCAGTGCACGGAATTCGTGCACCAGGCTGTATGTGTGTGTGTGGGGGGGGGGTCCTTCAGCCCAGCCTGTGCCCTCTCGCAGTCTGGGAGCCCTCAGGGGATGTCTGACTGATGGCTTAGGCCTGCAGGGAATGGGCCTAAGCCCTTAGTCGGATATCCTTAGCACTGCCACAGAGGTGGGAGAGGCTTCGGCCACTGCCGCTGCGCTCGCCAGTCATAAGCCCAGCTTAGGACTTATCACTGAGCAGCGCTCCCCCTTTGGGAGCACACTGACCACCAGAGGCAGCTCCTGTGTTGAGAGTCTGCCCCCTGGTGATCAGTGTGCATCATAGTGACCAGTCATTCCACCGTTCAGTCGATTTGCATGTTAGCCTTTTATTATATAGGATAGGATTCTTCAATCTTCAGTAAGCTTGAGATGGTAATTGCTTATACTGAGGAAAGACTCAATTAGATAAGCTATATCATCATCTGTAAATTGTGGACCTCATTCACAATTATGGTGAAGAAGACTTAAGAGAGAATAATAATATGAGGATAGGTAGCATTTAGTATGTGCCAGGCATGTTCTTGTGACTTTATATGAAGGAACTCATGTAATCTTATAACAACCCAATGACTCAGTTACTATTATTACCATTCTTTTACAGATGGGGAATCTGAAGCCCAGAGAGGTTAAGGGACTTGCCCAAGGTCACACAGCTATTCAGTCTAAAACAAGGCTTACACCTAGGTAGTTTGGTCCCAGAGTCCATGTGTTTATTACTTCACCAGAAACTTCATAAGATCCTACACGAGAACCGCATGAGACAGCTCGAGTCAGACAATGTCCCACCTGATGCTCCTGTTATGTCCATCGCCTTTAAATTCCTTGCTTTTATAACAGTGATGGTCAGCCTGCCAGCCGTGGGAAGGTAGCAGAGGGAAAACATCAGCTCGCCAAGATCCACATTGTCCTGTTGAGAAAGCGCACACAGAAGTGTTAGGAAGTGCCTCCAGGCTGGTGTGCAGAGGGCCAGCTGCAAGGTGGCACCCGGAGGGTCAGCCCTGCTCCCTCCCCTCATCTTGGGATCCCTGGTGCCTCTCAGCTCCACGCCAGTCACATGGAGAAGAGTAAACGCCTGCACTCAGGAGCCCCTTGCCCTAAGGAAGCCCAGCCCACCTTTAGATGGCAAAGCTGGGAGGCTACCCAGGGCCTCTGCCACCCTTGTGCAGCCCTGCAAGGCCTCATACTGGTGACCCTGAAAGTAGCCCCCAGAGCTGAAGCCCCCAGAGCCTTAACTATTCCCCACAGAGTCCCGTGTGGGTCCATTCAGATCCCCATCACAATCCACACAGAGCCAACAAATGACGCTACACAAAGAGGAGCCGCCTTACTGTGCAGCCCCCACCACAGCCTTCACATAGATGTGCTCTGCACACAGCCCCACCCAGCCTCACACGGCCCCACCCGGCTTCACATGGCCCCACCCGGCTTCACACAGCCCCACGCGGCCCCACATGGCCCCACGCGGCCTCAAACTGGTCCCCACAGGTCCCTCAAAGGCTCCCCTACCTCGTTTCCCACACGGCCTCCCCCAAGTTCTTCCCACGGGCCCCACATAGGCCCACCGTCTGTATGCAACCTTGACCCACACATACCTCTTCACAGCCCCTGCCCCAAACAGTTTGCCACAATACCCCCCATAAACTCCTGCAAACACCCCATACCCTGAAACAAACACACACGCACCTCCACCCACCAGAGCACTGCACGCAGCCTGGTCTCACACAACCTGTGAGACCAGCACACGGCTCAGCTGAACCTTGGAAACATCTAGTCCCCACGTGGCTCTGGAGAAGGAGCCCGCAAAAGCCTGAGAGGGGCACCCAGCAACCCCACACATCACAGCCCTGGACACACTCAGCTTCAGACAGAGCCCTGGGAGGTCTCCGTGCAGGGAGAGATGGCTGGGACCCAGGCCCCCAGGTCCCTACCGCCGCCTGAGGTCTCCCACTTCGTGGCGGTGCAGGCCCTCTCCTGTGCCCCTCAGGAGCCCCCTTCCCCCTCTGCTGGGGAAGACATCTCCTCGGCAGTACACAGCCATTCAAATAAGGCAGGAGACATGCTTCTCTTTCTCCGGCTTAGCCCAGCGAGAGTGTAACCAGAAAGGAGAAGAACGAAGCCAGTTCATTTAGTTTCAATTTGTGACACCTGAGGTTACTGAGCTGGGTGCGTGTGTCTGATTAATACAGTTTCATTCCGACAATGCTCTGGGGAGTCCAGTTCCTGCTCAACGTCCACAGCCTCCCCTCCCCCTCTCCATTCTCCAAGGATGCTGCTATTTTTAGAAGCATAGATTCAGCTCTGAAAGGTCACCGTGGCCAGCCCGGCCTCCCTGCCTGACCGCTTCTGCTGGAGGAAGATGGAGGGAATCTATTTGGTGGCTAAGGCAGATGGATTGCTTTGTATCTCCCTGCATTGCCTGCCTCGAGTAAACAAATGACCTCACCTTGCAAACCAGGCGCCCCTGGTTCCTGGAACCCTGACCTCAAGAGACCCAGGTGGCTGGGCCTTGCCCTCTGGGCTGGAGGTGAGGGGAGGAGATGAGGATTACACAGGATGGGGGGGTCAGGGGGCAGGTGTGGGTGATCTGCAGGGGGAGCATCTGACCACAGACAGAGGATCTGACCCAGGGGATCTGACACAGGAGAAAGAGAAGCAACGGCTGTTGTTGCCACAAATTATCTTTTTCCTTCCTCACTCCCTGGCCTGCTCCTTGGCCCTCTGTCTGCCTCAAGTAGAAAGACCCAGACACCTGTTCTCCTTCAGAGGGCTTCCCGGCACCCAGCTCACCCCTTCTCTCCTCTCATCTGCCCAGAACATCTTGGTTGGACAGAGTAAAACAGGAGGGACCAAAATCACCCCATGAAGCTTCATCACCATCCGTCTTTTCAGCATACGATTCCCAAGGGCCACACTGCACTTGCTCTGTAGGGTTCGAGACGTGACACTCTCCAGGCCAGTGCACAAAATTGTCTGTGACGTGTCAGACTACTGTTGTGCCAAGTACATTTTTTCCCAACATAAACCTTATTCACAAATATTTATATTACATGACTGTCTGCTCATGAATTAAAAGGGAAAAAAATCATAGCTTTGGACTTGATGTTACTTCAGGTTGTGAACTAGGGCTGGTGTCTACATATGTACTTATCAAGCAAACAAACAAAGCAGCCCTGCAAATGAAAGAAATAGTTATCAAAGAGAAAATGCTTGCTTTGATTTCCAAACGCTTTAAAATAAATCATTAAAAATTTCTGTTCTGAGAGTGAAAAATGATAAAGTTCAAATATAGAAGTTTTAAAGTAAAATATCCCCTTTTATGTATGTATATACCACCTATGTCACTCCTTTCCCCAGAGTAACACTGTGAATAATCATCCATATTTTTCTTTTTTTCCTTCTTTTTCAAGAGAGTAGAAGGGAGGAAGAGAAGGGGAGAGAGACACACACATCGATTGGCTACCTCCAATATACACCCCAACTAGGGCTGGGGATCAAACCTGCAATCGAGGTACGTGCCCTTGGCTGGTCGACCCTTTGGTCTGTGGGCTGACACTCTAACTATTAGCAACTGACCAGGGCCTAACTGATTTTAATGCAAGAATTAATTCTATTTATTTGTAGTTCATACTTTGTTACAAAGTGAATATTTCAGGTTGAAATGTTAAATAGGACAGGACTCAGGCACAGCAGGTGTTCACTGGAAATGTCCTACCAAACCAGAATATGTGGTTCACCCTGACCATGAACCACTCTATTACAGATTCCTTTTCAAGTAGAGAATCCTCAGCTAGGAATAGCTGCATGCTGTGCAGAGAAATAATT